CAGGGAGGTGGGCGGCTCAACGCAGGAGCGCCCCCTACTGGCCCGCCACAGACGGGACCACGGCTGCCTGTGTGAGGAAGCTGGTTTGCCGTGTACCATAAGCAGTGACAGACACCTTGGAGCCATAGGGGATCTCTTCTAACAGGCACAGCAAGACTAATTTAGGAGCACGGGACAAATGTCAGGATGTTTAAACACACAGGGGTCTAATGGAGACCTGGCTGTTGCCAAGGGTGAAGTAGGATAACTGCTAGTGACTTGGACAGTGCTGCTGTAAGTGCCACCGAACCGGTTGGGGACCCCTTCTAAATTATGCCAAGGAGGCCCCTTAGGTCGGTGGACTAAGGGAGGCTTCCTAATAAGCCTCTGGCTTGGGGAAGTGCCCCAAGTGCTTGTATTGGGTCTAGTACCCATTGGACGATCAGGCCTGTGTTTTCCAAGGTGCGCAGAGCCAGAAGTGAGTCCAGAGCCTTGGATGGTGGCAGCGGGAACCCCAGGCTAGCGGGTGTGCTCCAGGGAAGGGGTCGGCCGGACGGGAGGCACCCTAAGGGAGGCACTCGGAGCCTGGAAGGTGGTCGGGCGCAGGGAGGTGGGCGGCTCAACGCAGGAGCGCCCCCTACTGGCCCGCTACAACCTCATGGTGCTCCTTCACTTGTTGTGTTTCCCAAAATTATGAAAGTGCAGCAGAAGGCTATAGCCCCTCAGAAGCATCATAACCTTTTGTATCAGCTTGTATGTAAAGAGATGCAAACAGCAGGCGAGGCTCAGTCATGCTGGAGGCTCCTTCCTGCCTGTGTTCTCCGCAGGAACTAGAGAGACTCAGCATCCCTAAGATGGAGACACTTTCAGAGGAGGCAGGTTTACCTGTAAATGAGAACCTCTCCAGAGCTTTACTGACTTCTGCTGTTTAATACCAAAGCTTTTCGAAATTTTATGTATTTATTTAGCGAATGCAAATCTTCAAAGCCAAGCAATAGCCTCCTCGTTAGCTGAGTTCAAAGTTATTAATCCACCTCTTAGTTTGCAGCCTCTGACACTCCCCGGTGATTGTCTGTATCTCTCCACAGGTGCACGATGGGGTAGCACTGAGACGCAGCAGTGAAGGCCTCAGGGGCCGCACTGGGGCCTTGGCCTGTCCTGAACCTGTTTAGCAAGGACCCCTCTCGCCTCGGTAGTTCAAAGCCAAACGTTTGACGCCTAGGGTTTGTTACAAGGAACTTGTTTGTGACCTCCCATGATTCCCATCCCTTGATCCAGAGGGCACCTGCAGACAATCCTGTCCAGGGAAGCTGCTCCATAAGGGGCGTCACGAAGGAAGGCGGGCCTTGGGTGGGTTAACATGGTCATTGTAGCATGGTAGGTAAGGTGCAGCATGAATAGTTTTGACCATTTCTGGTCATCATGGTTCGATGGATGTGTCGGGGAGTGATATCTTCAAAGACAGGAAGCCAGGGGAGGGAGCTGAGCAGAACGTTCCAGTTATGATACGCATGGTTGTGTCCAGCTGGGTGTCAGCAAGATGTGTATGTGATGAATTTTGCCAGACCGGTGAACAATACTCTGCTGCTGAGTACAACAGGGTGAGAGCTGAGGTCCAGAGCGTTGTGACTACAGCACCCCACATTGATCCAGATATATTGGCTAGCAAGTTATTTCAGGATTTGACCTTTGCTGCTGTTTTCTTTAGATAGTCCTGGAAAGTCAGGGTTCAGTCTAAAGACAGCCCCAAGAATGCTGGGCAGGGATCATGCTTTAGACTCTGACCACCCATATAGATGCTAAGTTCTTTTTTGGCACTGGCGTTGTGGTGGTGGGATACACTGGATACCGTTCTGGCAGGACTCGGTGTGAGGCACCATGTGTTGTGGTCGTTTGCCAGCTTGGTCACACCTTTGTTCAGGGTCTGGTCCAGAGTGCAGAAAGATGAAGCTTGAGTGACATTTAGATATCATCAGCAGAGATGAACTTGTGGGATGTGGTTGTTGGCAGATCTTGTGTAAGTTAAACAGCGTTGGGGCCGGCCATGAGCCCTGTGGAAGTCCACTGGCCTGTGTCCTCCAAGCGCTTATCCCCTGCCCAAGGTGGACTCTGTATCATCTGTTATGGAGAAGAGTTTCGACGACTATAACAACCCAGCTTGGTAGTACTCTGGACAGCTTTAGAAGTAGGTCAGTGTGCCATACTGTATCGTAGACAGCTGTGAGGTCCAGTAGCACGATGCCTGGCTTCAGATTTTTCTGAAGACCATGTTTATGTAGGTGGCAAGTGCCAGCACGTGCTCACATATCCAATGTAAAATGAGATACTCAAGGACATTGTAGCACACAGCCAGTGATGCAGCTGGTCACCAGCTGGCCACCAGCACAAGGTCTTTTCCAGGTTTTGGAATGGCAATAACTTTTGCCATGTATCACTTCTTCAGGAGTAACCTTGAGCTGACGAGTCCATCTTTGAGATGGACACAGATTACATAAGAATAATAAATATTATTATTTAATACTTATTATTTATTATTATTTAAACACTCCTGTCTCAACATCCCAGGGCCCATCCATCATGGGGTGTGGTGAGTGCAATGTTCCCAGCTCCCCCAGCCACTGCTCGCAGACTGACCATGCCGTGGGATGACCAGCCAGGGATTTTTTAAGTCTCCATATCAGGCAAACAACCTGCCCCCACCATGCTCAGCAACCCCCACCCTTCTCCTCCAGGCTCAGCAACACCACCCCACTCTGTCCACCCCATGAAGGGGAAATAAGATGGAGGCCAAAGTCTGTGGGAGAGGTGGGAATTCACCTTGGCTCTGCAAAGCACAAGGCTAATCCCTCAGCCCTGGGACCCAGCATCTGTTCTTCACAGTGAAGTTCACATCCCAGATAACACATTGCTTGTGTCATGTAACAGGGCATGTGCTTGTGTCATGACCAGGGCATGTAACACATTACATGCCCTGGTCATTGCATATATCTAGCCATGGGAAATGACCCTTATAAGAGCAAGGTGGGCAGCTGAGTGCTATCTAAGGGCTCCCTGCTGGCACCATAAGGATTAGGGGCTGTGTCTGAGAGGGAGAAGTGATGGGTGAAGTGGATGAATGTGAACAGTGCCCGCCCCTGCTGTACTGGCCCCTCAGAGTCACTGACCTGTGAGTCTGTGCAGGAAACAGCTGGATTCAGGAGCAGCAGAAGTGAGCAGAGCAGGGAGGTTTTTGCATGGGGCTGTAGCACTGTGCAAGGGTTATATGAGCTCTGCCCACAGTAATAATCCCCAGCATCACCATCTTCCACCCGGCTGATGCTGAAAGTGAAGTCGGTGCCAGACCCACTGCCACTGAACCGGTCGGGGATCCCGGAGGGGCGGTTATTTGTTCTGTAGACAAGGAGCTTAGGAGCCTGCCCTGGTTTCTGCTGGTACAAGTGCATCCAGCTGCTGACACTGGAACTGGCTGTGCACTTGATGGTGACTGTGTCTCCTGGGGACTTGGCCAGGGACTCTGGAGTCTGTGTGATGAGGATGTCCCCGCTGGAGCCTGAATGGGGGAAAACAGGCCACATAAGAGAGCATGAAACAACTCAAATGCAATAGCACTGAACAAAGTGAATCTGTGCTCTATTTTTGCCATTTGTTTCTCCTCCTATTTTCTCTTACAATAGATTTGATCACCTGAAAGCTAACACACGAATGAAGTGTTGCTGTATTGTTTAAAGAAAAAAATCATTCCTTTTACATATTTCCAGAAGTGCCACCCAGTGACGGCTAAGGATTTTGATTCCTTTCCCCATGCTATCCTTACCCTTTGCCCAGAGCACAAGGAGCCAGAGGAGCTGAGTCTGCCACAGCATCTTGCTGCTTCTGCACCGACTGACACGGAGCTGAGAGACACCAAGCGTTAAAGCGGCCCCTTTATACTCCTCCCCGGAGCAGGGCGCAGTCACTGGGCCAGCCGTATGCAAACCTGCAGCTCTATGTAAATGGACCTTCCCTGGGGACCAAGACATAGACTGCAGGGACAGGGCTACAGACAGCCCTAATCAATGCTGCATCACCATTTCCTGACCATAACAGAAGACACGGATGAGAGATCCTTGTGGCTTTCTGATTCTTGGGTCTGGATTCTTCTTTTATCACTGTTTTGATGCATGTGACCCCATTTCCTTCTGCACAGTCACTACCGTTTTACACGGGGGTCAGTTAGTGTCAGGTGCAGT